GGCCACCTCACTTCGTTCCGCCGACTCTCTACACCTTATATACGGACGGAACTTCCACTTTCAACATATTTATCATTGTTATTTGCGGACATGTGTAAATATTATTAAATATAATGAAAAGTGAACTTTATTGTTTAATATGCCCTGATAATCTATACCCAGAGGATAAAAAGAGGTTAAATGCTATTAAGATCTGAAAAAGCAAAGAAACCACGGACATACATATACATACGTAGATATACATACATACATATGCATATGTATATATATGTATACGTTTGTATATGCATGTAAATGTATGTATACGTTTGTATATGCACGTATGTATAGTATATGCATGTATATGTATGTATACGTTTGTATATGCACGTATATGTATGTATACGTTTGTATATGCATGTATATGTATGTATATGTTTGTATATGAATGTATATGTATGTATACGTATGCATGTATATGTAAATGTATATGCATGTATATGTATATGTATATGCATGTATATGTATATGCATGTATATGTATATGTATATGCATGTATATGTATATGTATATGCATGTATATGTATATGTATATGCATGTATATGTATATGTATATGCATGCATATGTATGATGTATATGCATGTATATGCATGTATATGTATATGCATGTATATGTATATGTATATGTATATGCATGTATATGTATGATGTATATGTATATGTATATGCATGTGTATATGTATATGTATATGCATGTATATATGTATATGTATATGTAATGTATATGTATATATATATGCATGTATATGTATATGCATGCATGTATATGTATATGCATGTATATGTATATGCATGCATGTATATGTATATGCATGTATATGTATATGTATATGCATGTATATGTATGTATATGCATGTATATGTATATGCATGTATATGTATATGATGTATATGCATGTATATGCATGTATATGTATATGCATGTATATGTATATGTGTATATGCATGTATATGTATATGCATGTATATATGTATATGTATATGCATGTATATGTATATGCATGCATGTATATGTATATGCATATGTATATGTATATATGCATGTATATGTATATGTATATGCATGTATATGTATATGTATATGCATGTATATGTATATGCATGTATATATGTATATGCATGTATATGTATATGTATATATATGTATATGCATGTATATGTATATGCATGTATATGTATATGCATGTATATGTATATATATGCATGTATATGTATATGCATGTATATGTATATATGCATGTATATGTATATGTATATGCATGTATATGTATATGCATGTATATGTATATGCATGTATATGTATATGCATGTATATGTATATGCATGTATATGTATATGCATGTATATGTATATGCATGTATATGTATATGCATGTATATGTATATATGTATATGCATGTATATATGTATATGCATGTATATGTATATGCTGCATGTATATGTATATGCATGTATATGCA